AATAATACACTAACCATCCCTTACCAACCCATTAGTGATCAATAATACACTAACCATCCCTTACCAACTCATTAATGATCAATAAAACATTAACCATCCCTTACCAACCCATTAATGATCAGTAATACACTAACCATCCCTTACCAACTCATTACTGATCAATAAACACTAACCATCCCTCACCAACCCATTAATGATCAATAATACACTAACCATCCCTTACCAAACCATTACTGATCAATAAAACACTAACCATCCCTTACCAACCCATTAATGATCAATAATACACTAACCATCTCTTACCAACCCATTAATGATCAATAATACACTAACCATCCCTTACCAAACCATTAATGATCAATAATATACTAAAGGTCCCTCATTATTGACCATGTTTTAACGAATTACTTTTGTATTAAATGAAACATTCAATTTTTTCTCCAGATTTAATTTGGTTTCTAATCTTTAAAAAAGTATTGATGATCCCTAAAACACTAAAGAACCCTCGTCAACTCACTAATGATCACTAAAACACTAAAGAACCCTCATCAAGTCACTAATGATCAATAAAACCCAAAAGAATCCCCATCAACTCATGAATGACCAATAAACCACTATATCGCTTACCAACGAAATATTGTCCAATAAAACATTAAATATCACTTATCAACCCATTGATGATCCCTAAAACACTAAAGATCCCTTATCAACCCATTGATGGTCAATAAAACACTAAGGACTATTAAGAATCTATTAAGATTAGAAACCAAATTAAATCTGGTTTCAATGTTTCATCATTCTTTAAAACAAGTACTTTTTGCTCACAAACAAGTTGAACAACTTTAATGATATTCATAAAAAAATACAAACAAAAGTTATAAACTCATATATCAAGTTACAATAGTTTTTTTTATTTTTAACATTCAAACCAGTAATAATATTATGTGTCATAAATAACTTCCAAACAAACCAAGTGAAATAATAGTAATATTTTGTGTTCTGTCGGAAGTTACTCATATATCAAGTTACAATAACAACAATGATCCAGGAAGTTTAAACTTTCTACATCCGTGTCAGTAGTATTCTGTCTATAAACCTTCTACATCTGTGTCAGTAGTATTCTGTGTATAAACCTTCTACATCCGTGTCAGTAATATTCTGTGTATAAACCTTCTACATCCATGTCAGTAGTATTCTGTGTATAAACCTTCTACATCCGTGTCAGTAATATTCTGTGTATAAACCTTCTACATCCGTGTCAGTAATATTCTGTGTATAAACCTTCTACATCCGTGTCAGTAATATTCTATCTATAAACCTTCTACATCCGTGTCAGTAATATTCTGTGTATAAACCTTATACATCCGTGTCAGTAATATTCTATCTATAAACCTCTATCTATGTCACTAATACCATGTCTTCGAATACAAAAGTTTTTAGAGCCTTTACCATTACAACACGAGAATTCGTGCACGTTTGTTTATAACAATATCATATTTAGTCCATATGTTTTAATATAATAACTTGGAAATTGTAACTGATTCTGCTGAAAGTTTTGAAGTTTTTTGTTGTTGTTTTCTTTTATTAAAGGTGAAAAAATAGGCGAACTAAAGTTGCTTTCACAGAGTGTATAAAATCCACGTATCTGCCATTAGAAGTAGTGAAAGAAGATTGATTGTTGCCACTAGAGGGCAGTATGGTCTCAGCAACTACACTTTCAAGAAAATATTTAAATAAAATAAAATTAAGTATTTTGCGTATGTTGAAGTTGGTTTTTCATAGTCACATAATTTTACTAGACCAAAGATATGTTAATTAAAACCAGCCTTTTTAACATGTTAAAACTCGTTTGTTCTCAGATTTATGTTTAGTATGTAAACTTTTGATATTAGTAGTTAGACAGTTGATAAAGCCTCCATCACTGACGTGATAGACAGAATACTACTGACATGGATGTAGAAGGTTTATAGACAGAATATTACTGACACGGATGTAGAAGGTTTATACACAGAATACTACTGACACGGATGTAGAAGGTTTATAGACAATATTACTGACACGGATGTAGAAGGTTTATAGACAGAATAGTACTGACACGGATAAGGTTTTATTGATGGTAAAAGAAGGGTTTCTAGACAGGGTATTATTGACAGGAGAAAAAGTTCATAGACAGGGTGGGACAGTATTTGTAGAAAAGGTATTATTGACACAGGTGGAACAACATTTTTAGACAGAGTATTACTGACACAGGTGTAACAGTGTTTATAGAAAAGGTATTATTGACATGGGTATAACAGTATTTGTAGACAAGGTATTATTGACACAGGTGTAACAGTGTTTATAGAAAAGGTATTATTGACACGGGTATAACAGTATTTGTAGGCAAGTTATTATTGACATGGGTATAACAGTATTTGTAGACAAGGTATTATTGACACAGGTGTAACAGTGTCTGAAGACAGGGTATTACTGACACAGATGTAACAGTGTTTACAGAAAAGGTATTAATGACAAGGTGGAACAGTGTTTGCAGACACTGTTCTACTTGTGTCTACAAACACTGTTCCACTTGTGTCAATAATACCCTGTCTGCAAACACAAGTAGAACAGTGTTTGTAGACAGGGTATTATTGACACGGGTGGAACGGTGTTTGTAGACAGGATATTACTGACACGGGTGGAACGGTGTTTGTAGACAGGATATTATTGACACGGGTGGAATGGTGTTTGTCACAAGGTATTACTGACACGGTGGAATGGTGTTTGTAGACAGGGTATTATTGACATGGATGAAACAGTGTTTGCAGACAGGGTATTATTGACACAGGTGAAACAGTATTTATAGACAGGGTATTACTGACACGGGTGGAACATTGTTTGTAGACAGGATATTACTGACACGGGTGAAACAGTGTTTGTAGACAGGATATTACTGACATGGGTGGAACAGTGTTTGTAGACAGGATATTACTGACACGGGTCAAAC